ATATTTATATTTATATTTATATTTATATTTATATTTATATTTATATTATTTATATTTATATTTATATGTTTTCTCAAGTTTTCGCGGGTACTTACATGTATGGCATTCAGCTTTGTTCAGGTATTTTCCCACGTCATTGTAGTTGTGCTTTTAAAGTTGTAGCAACGTTTCGGCAGAATCTCATCTGCCATCATCAGGCTTCTGTATTGTCTCTGAGAAGCACAGAGCCGAAGACACAAGCCTGAAGATGATGAATGAGACTTCATCGAAACGTTGCCTAGATACTTCCAATCTTACGCGGGAGAAAACCCGAATAACCAAAGATCCACACACACATATACACACACACACACACACACACACACACACTTTTTTTCTTCTGCTTAAAATGTTTTGTCTCTTCTACTGTCCTATTCTAAAATCATCACTTATTTTTGTTATGACTTGCAATAGTTAGGCTAGCCAAAATGTCTGTTTCCCACAGGAAACCCTTTATTTTTCTTTGTTAAATCCAAAATCTTATAGTAGATGTCAATATTCCTAATTTATCTGGCCTCTTAATCCATTTATAACTTTCTTAGATCAAAATCTCATTCAGTTTTTTTTTGCTGTTTATTTCAAATTCTTTTATGTTCCTTAATATATAATTAGCCCTTTTTCTGTTCAGAGTGAAAGATAAGTTCACCTGATGAATACCTGTCATTCTGAGGAACACTTTCATAGCTTTAAGGTGGTTAAAAGGCAACTCTTGAAAGTGTGAAAAAGTGAGATTGGTGAGCTTTGATGCCTTTAAAGAGTCCTGCCACGGCTATAAACAAGATGGCTGAAGCCGTCATTTCCTGTCAGTCAAACTGGTGGAAAACCACTGAGCCTTCCTCATCAGAAGCAGCCACCTGGAGCCCATGTGGGCCATCTCTGGTCCTCTCTCTACTCAGAGAGGTTCCTAGGAACTGATCCAGTTGCCGGTTCTTTGCTCTGCGCAACCTGAGCATCGGTTCTCTATGCCTCTCCCAGAATTTGTTAGCTTGCATTTTTGTAAAGGGAAAGTCGGCCATGCGCTTAGCTTCCTTGTTTTGGGGCCCAAAGCCTCCCGGAATTTTCTGCTGGCTGAGCAGGTTCTGTGCTGTTACTGCGCTTCCCTTCCCTTAAAGAGGGGAGTCATCGGGTTGGAGGCCCTGCCTCTGCGACACCAAGAGCAGGACTCGTAGAATTCCTTTCTGGGGACTTCCTGAATGGGATGCCTTGTCTTCCCTTACGTGAGACACAGAAGAGCCCAGATTTGAGTGGCTGTTTCCGCCACTCTCTGCTGTATCCATGACGATTTTGGCAAAGTTCATACCACTTTTCAGTGTAGCTTGCAAAATATGCCAGGTTTTCTGTGGGAATGAGATGCTGCAGGGCTGGGCTCCAGCTGTAGCCGTCGTTGCCCCCCCCCACCAAGCAGCCCGTCCTTAGCAGCTCACTTTACGTTGGGGGGGGGAAAGGCGGGATTGTTCGCAGCTGCTTAGAAAAGGAGGAGAAGTCTTGGAAGGGAGACAACCGTCCTGCTTCCATCTCAGGCAGATGAGACGCCGTCCCGCGTGGAAGGGCTGCTATCTTGTACTTCTAATTGTGTTTGGGGTGGAAACTCTGCCAGAGGTGAAGGCCTCCCTTCTTCCTGGCAACCTATGTGAAAGCTCCTCTGTGAAGGAGAACCAACCTCCATCGTGCTGTGCCAGGAGAAGGCGAGGTCCAGCAGCCTGACAACCAAACATTAAAACCACCGTCCCCGTGTTGGATTTATGGTGTAATCCCAGACAAATTGAAAACGAAAAGTGAATTTGGAAGATCTCTGGTTAAACTGATAGCAGGGATTAAGCTATTATAGAGAGTTTGATTAAAGTTTCTTTATTTATATGTTTCTGAGCTGGTAATTGTTGAGGACGTTTGGTGAGGAAGGTGTGCTTAGCTAAGCTGTTTTTCGGCAGAGACACCCGCCGGAGGCCCCTGGCTTGCTTGTATCCTGTAACTTGGGTGTTTTCCTTTCTTTCCTGGCTCTCCTCAGCTTCCCTAATCTTTTCCAGACCCCTTTTGAAAGCAAATCGGGCTCTTGTATTGTTTAACTTTGGATGTCATTCTCCCAGAGCAGGACTCGTCCCTCTTGGGCTCCGGGGCGTCTCCTCCATTACCGTTTCATGGGCCTCCCTGGCTCCCAGCTGACCTGGAAGGCCTGCGGTGGGACTTTGGCGGGCAGCCCCCCTTTCTGCAGTGCCTCAAGGCAGCCCAACGTCTTTTGAGCCTGGCAAGAGGCGCCACAGCTGCGCCGATCTTAACAAGGCGATTCCTCCCCCCAAGATGCTGCCATTTGGGCTAGAAATCTGGTGAGAGGTTCAGTCGCTGCCTTCTGAACTCTCGCAAGATCTCAAATGATAAAAATTGTAGTTGTGTGAACTCTCCCTCTCCTCTGTCTCCCTCCTTTGCTGCAGCTGAAGAAGAAGCAGGTGTACGTGGAGAAGGTGGAGAAGATGCAGCAGGCGCTGGTTCAGCTACAGGCTGCTTGTGAGAAGCGGGAGCAGCTGGAGCACCGGCTCAGGACGCGGCTGGAAAGGGAACTGGAATCGCTCCGCATGCAGCAGGTAAATAAAGGCAGGTTTGCAACTCCTGCTCCCCTCCAGCAGCGATTGGGAAGCGTCCGAAAAGCCCACGCAGAAGTCTCCGTTTGTTAATCAAATTGGGGAGCCACCCACTTCACCCAAAGCGACTCTCAGTGGCACACAATTGGATGAAACCACGAATGTTTTAAAATGCAATAATCCTCAGTAAGAAATAAATGGTATAAACCAGTGGTCCCCAACCACCGGGCCCCGGACCGGTACCGGTCCGTGGATCATTTTGTACCGGGCCACCTATTTTGCTTGGGCGCCGCCATCTTGTTTCAACGGCGCTTGAGAAAGTGCTTCCGGGTGAGCTTGTCGGTCGTCGGTTGGATGGAAAGCGGCGTTTGGGTGCTGAAGGAATCCTCGCGCCTTAGTTTCGTCGAAGAGGGGGGGGCGACTTCGAACGAAGAGCCATCCCGATGACGGTGGAGTCTCGCGTTACTCAGGAGGAGATTAAGAAAGAGCCCGAAAAGCCCATCGACCGCGAGAAGGTACAAAGGAGGAGTTGAAGGTGGCAGGGAGAAATGGGGGATGGCTGGCTGGCCGCTCGCTCGGCTCGCCTTGCCTTGGTCGTACGTGCTGATGCCGGTACCGGTCCATGGATCATTTTGTACATTTTGTATTGGGCTGTGGTACAAAAAAGGTTGGGGGCCACTGGTATAAACAAATCTGTAAACACCACCACCACCCCCGTCAGAGACAGGACCACCAAACGGAGCCATCTGAACCTGTCTCCGGTTCCCTGGGCAGCCCAGGCCTGATGACCTCGCCAGCTCTTGAGGTCCGTCCTCCCCTAAGGTCAAAAGGGAGGGGAGGAATCTGATTTCAGGGGGAAGGATGTACCCCAAGGAGGATGCTACCCCAGGGAAGGCAGGTCTCCTGGGTCCCCGGATGCCATGTGGCAGACCTGATAGAACTGGGGAGAGATGCCGCTCCCTCAAATGAACGGGCCCCATGCCGTGAAGGGCTTTCAGGGTCAATACCAGCCCTTCAGACTGGACCCGGGAACTGGCTTGGCAACAACCCTGCAGCTTGGGGAGCAGAGGTGTCACCTCTGACCGCCTTCCCTGCTGCATTTTGCACCAACCGGAGCATCTTCAAGGGCAACCCCCTGTAGGGCATGGTACCTTAGTCCAGTCTGGGCACATCGAGGGGCTGGAGCTGATTGGTCAAGGGCTCTTTTTGGAAAACCAAAAGCCTTTTTTTCCTTCAGACTGGAAAAACCGGAGAAGTGCCAGCTCTTGAGATAATTTTGGCCATCCCCCAGGAAGTTCAATGGGGCTGGACATGGATGGAAGAGCACCAGCAGTGCTCTGGGTTCTAGGCTGGAATAGAGAGAGCTTTAAAAAAGAGGACTTGCCAGAGAAGGCAGAGTCAACCCTCTTCGTGATTTCACCAGGAGCCAGGCTGGAAGCTTTACTTTAACTGGAGGAGTTGCCAAATCCATGTGTCATGCGCAATAAAAATTGAAATGTTTTAGATTTTTAAAGTAATTCTACCACTTGCAGGATAATCAAATCTTTTTTGAACTTCCCGCAATCTCATCTCCAAATGCAAGAAAGAAAAGCTCCCACGATTTCAAAATCTCTTGCAACATTGGGATCCTTTTTTCATTCATTTATTTCATAGCGATTGTTTCATTTTGCTTTATCTGGGGTGTGATAGATGCTGTGTGGCTACCCTAAATAGGAACCTTGTTCCTGCCTTGACCTTTGAGACCCTTTGTCACCAGGTGGGGGGGTGGGTTGGATTTTGACTGTTGCCAGAGAGTCGCCACCTGGGGCACCCCGTGGTTGTTGCCACCTTGGAGAACGTGAGGGGTGGAACTTCCTGGCCAAGTGGAGAGAGTAAACCGCTCACTCGCTGCTCAGGGGAGACGGCTGGAATTGCCAGGGACTGTGGAGGCCCCCCCAGTCCAGGGTCATTCGTGTGTCCCTCTCCCCACCTCGACTTCCCAAGGGGCACCCCCCTTTTGCTACCGCTCTGCACGCTTCTCAGTGTGCTTGTTCTGTTGCCTTTTCCTGCCAGCGCCAGGGAAGCTCTCAGACGGGCAACGCCGCCTCCGAGTACAACGCTGGCGCCCTGATGGAGCTCTTGCGTGAGAAGGAGGAGCGGATTCTGGCTCTGGAGGCGGACATGACAAAGTGGGAGCAGAAGTATCTGGAGGAAAGCGTCATGCGTCAATTCGCGTTGGATGCGGCAGCCACTGTGGCGGCTCACCGGTAATTACGAGTGTGCACATGGATGGACACACAACACACACACACAC